TCGTGGTGGAGAAACTTCATTCTGTTTGTCTTTAATGCATTACCTGGCAGTGCCACATCGCTCCTCTCCTCTCTGTCTAGTACAGACAACCGCAAGGTTTTTCTTGGGGAGGGGGGGTTGAAACCAGCCAATCAGTGCTCTGGGATGGGAGCTCACTGCTTTTGGAAAATGACAGGGGATTCCTTCTTCAGCATGTTTCAGCCTACTGCACATGAAGTTAAAAAAAAAAGCACCACAGTGAATGAAGAAGTCAAGTGAATGTGTTCGCTGGACAACATGATTTCTTCAGCTTGCTGTTTTTAGGATTTGAGTGTATTTTGAGTGCAGATTTCCCAGTTTCTGTCTCACTTTTATTGCAGTTATCATTCCTCCCATTCCCGAAGACAGACAGTCTTAATTTTGCTCGTAGTCAGTGCAACTTACACTGCATGTTTTTATATCATTGGATCTCTCGATAACATGAAAGCATTTTTTTGGAATGTTGCTTTGACATTATTCCTACTTTGTTATCATGGAACATAATCTGTGGCCCTGACTACATCCTGAAAACATCCTCTGAATGCTGCAGTTAAAACGGTTGACCTTTAACCTGACAAGGACATTGTTTGAAATAATAAAAATCTACATAATGTTCTGTAAATAATAAACTGAAAGCCTCTCAGAAACCTGCTGGTGAACCTAAAAGGCAGTTGTTGCTTTTAATCGCCCACATTGTGGTGATTATGGACTTGTTTTCCTGTGTTTCTGGATTCTGTTGTTTGTGTGTTCGGCTGGCTGTGCTGTTTGTTTCAGGCTGGGCGGGGCTGGTTGGAGGAGGACGCTCGCATGCTGGCACAGCTGCAGCTCATTGTCCTCATCAGCACACTGGTCACCTGGGCTCCAGTGCCAGACGATTGCCAACTCCACGAGTGGTACATCAGGCCGCTTAGTCGCGTTCACTAAGTTCATGAGGTTTACACGTACAACTCTCGAGCTCACCAGTAACCTATTTTGTCTCTCCTTGTTTCCCAGCGTCCCCTCCACCGGTCCAAGCGTGCAGCCGTTCGGTTTCCCACGTCAGCCTTCACTTCAAAATTTCCCCTCCGTGAGCACCTGCACATAAAATCACCCTCCTCCTTCAGCTACATCCTACACACCTGCCCCGGATCCCTCACCTGCCTCCTGGATTCCCTCACCTGCCTCCTGGATTCCCTCAAATACACTTGATTTCCCTTTAACCTGTCTCCCTCTCATTTTGGGTCCAAACCCACGTCCTTTGGCCACTGGGCCGTAACACACATTACAACATTCATAAGAGTTAAAAACTAGAAAAACTGAATTAGTTGTCAAATTTTCAATTGTCTGTAAGTCCCTGAATGAATAACGTGTGTGACATTTTGTTTGAACTAACCAAACTCAGCTTGATATATACATATATATATGTGTGTCAAAAATGAGTCGACATTGAGTAAAAATGTGACAAAAACACCCAAAAACATCCAGAAATGGCATGGGTTGAGGGGATAACATCTTTTTTTTTTTTTTTTTTTAAAACATGAGTAGAACTTGTAAATGAATTTAGCCAGTGTGGTGTAAACCTTGTCTTATAGTTTGGCAGTTTGTGTGCCAAAATCACAAATGTCACAAAGCTGAAAACAGGGATGTTTCTCTGAGCTCATGAAGAGCTGACTTTTTAGAGACGTGGCTTTCAAAGGTCAGCAACTCTGCAAACATATGATGAGTATAAATATATATAATATGATGCGTTGCTGTAGATTAAACTAGTGTAAAAGAAGGTGAAACAAGCAGAACTTTAAACATCTGGAGCTCTAAAATGCAACATCTGTAGCACTGATATTAATCAGAAAGCATCTTAGGTAATAGCAAAATACTGACAGGGAGCATTTTACTGCACATGGTTGTTTTTTTGTTTTTTTTTAAAAAAAAACTTGATTAAAATGTTGCTGAAATACTTTCATGTGCTGACTTAAACAACATTTAGAATGCCTACTTTTTACTTGTAGTGGAGTATTTTTCTAGTTCTCATCTGTTCAGTAGCTGTTGAACCCATAAACCTGTAGCTCTCTGTTGTAAAGGTTTTTTTATGCTGATATAAACCTATCACCTGACAATTTAGCGATTATTTGTCCAACAAGTTCTCCTAAAAGAAGACATGTTAACAACATATATATACTTTTTTTTTCATTTCAGCACATCCTAATAAATATGTCATTATTATTTACTGAAAGTTTAATAGAGCAACTTTTGCAGTTTCACAAAGAACTGGCTAAAGCAGCATAAATTTCCACCTGACTTCTACACCAAAGTCAATTACTTCTTGTCAGCTTCAAAATGAAACCTTTTACTTTTAACTTGTTTACAGCAATAACGAGTTGATATCATTTAAAGGTTTCTCTTAAAACAAACACATACGTCCCGTCAGGTATGTAAGTAACAGATTTGGAAATACAATTTATTAGTTAAACTATTTTAACTAAATAACAGGAATTGCATTATTTCATCAGCTTAAAACAAGACAGCAGTCGTGATACAGGTTATGTGTTTTGTGAAGCAGACAAAATTACATGCTTGTTTAACTGTGGATGCTCATCAGTGTAGAAATCCTTTCCCATAATTACAATCAGCAACATGATCAGGCTGATAAACATCATAGACATGTCCAGAAAGTGTCAAAGTGGCTGCAAAAAAATATATTCATGCAACACAGTTATTTAGGAGCTCTTGTTCAAATGTAAAAAAAAAATCTTCTTTTTTTGTCTTGGTGTGACAAATGGCACATGTTAAGTCTCTAATAGTCCACTAGAGTCCTCTAGTGGACTGTTTTTTGAGTTAAATTCCAGACAGCAAGTCCACCTACATCTTATTTGACAGGTGTTGGGCCTGTTTGTCTTTTGTCCTTTGAGCATGTGATGACTCTTCAAAAGCAAAATCTCTTCAAATATCTGACATTTAGAAAAAAAAACATAAAAACTTCAGGTTTTATAATTACATTCATTTTATTCCTAAATACAAAACAACAATCAGACAAGTGACCATTCAAAATACATTGAGTGCAACATATATATATAACTGTACAACTGTAAAGACAACAGGTAGTGGATGCATCTGGTTCAGTGCCTATCGTTTAAAAAAAAACAGTGTACAATTAAAAATTAACCACTCATGTTAATTGAATAAAGTGCTACTTTACTCTAATTATAAAAGTAATCACACAAAAAACTTTGTTCCGAATTTTAGTCAGTTTAAAGCCATAAATGAGAGGATTTATAAGGGGTGGTACGACGAGAAATTCTATCGCTATGAAGTTTCGAATCATTTGAGGGAAATCTTTTGAAGAGAGTCGCAACATCATACCATCGACAAGTATAGTGACCAGAAAAGTGAGCAAGGAGACTAAATGTGGCACACATGTTTGCATGAACTTTGCTCTGTTTTCTAAAGAACTCATGCATGTTTTAATGAGATACAGGTAGGACCAGAC